CAGTCACAGCATCAGAAACTGCTACCCTGTATCAGAACCATGTTTTCTGATGATTTGGACTACCCCTCAAGGCTATCTCCAATAGAGGACCACAGTTCACATCACGGATGTTCAGGAACTCTGCACTAAATTAGGCATCAAACAGAATATTTCTAGCGCCTTCCACCCTCAGACCGATGGACAGTCAGAGCATATTAACCAAGACTTGGAATTGTATCTTCGGATCTTTTGTAATCACCGAGCAACCGACTGGACAAGTCACTTGCCACTAGCAGAATTCGCGCACAATAACTGACATCATGATACCATCAAGACATCCCCCTTCCAAGTGCTCATGGGTTACCAACCTCAGCATAATATTCCCACTGTGGGAACAACTGATGCCCCGGACATTGCTTCTAGACTCACTCAGCTAGCCCACCTTTGAACTGAAATCCAATCCAGTATTTGGCTAGCAGAGGAAATAGTCAGGAAATGGAATAAAGACAAGTTCGTAGAATACACGCCAGGACAAAAGGTATAGCTGGAAGCCACTAACCTCAAAGGACTTCATCCAAAAGCCAAACTTGGACCAAAGCGTTATGGACCCTTCACCATTGACCAGAAGCTGTCACTGGTTGTTTATCAGCTGAAGTTACCGCCAAAATAGAAGATTCACCCTATATTCCATGCAGGATTGCTTATCCTTATTCGGAAACAACAATGCACGGAAAGAATTACCTCCGACCACCCCTGGAACTAATCAAGAACCAGGAGGAGTTTGAAATTGAACATATCATTGATTCGAAGACAGTTGGCAAGCGAACACTGTACCGAGTAAGATGGAAAGGGTACCTGGCCTTGGATGACTCCTGGTTGCCGAAAACTGAACTTTCACATGCTAAAGATGCTTTGGCAGACTTCCTACAGACCAAACAAAGGTGACTCCTCATAAGAACCACTCACCTTTGACTTCCTCAATGGTATCCGTCACCATCCTCGCCGCCCTCCTTCTAGTTAGCTGGGCCTTCACTGCCCTCCTCATCCTCCTCCTTGCCTTTACCCTCTTTGTCCTCAAGGACACCTACACCTTCAAGGTCCACCTTGAACGCACCCCTACCCCTCTCGCCACCACCCCCATCGACGAACAGGCTCTCAACTGGGCTAACAACAGAGCACAAGTAACATCCCCCATTGAGCTCACTCCAACCCCCTTTACTGACCTTCTCAGTGGTGAACCAAGTTGCCCCCCTCACCGCCATCACCCTCACTGCTGTCAACGAGCACCCCCACCTCCTACTCCTAGCCCTTCTGGGCTTCTTCCTCACCACCCTCCTCTCCGTCCTCGCTCTCGCCCTCATTGTCCCCCTAACCCTTCGGCTCACCATTCAGCACCTGGAACGCAAACACCAGTGGGCCTACAACATCACCGCCACTGCACAGCGCCCCCTCCCCCATACCACCACCACTCTCCCTGTCATTGCCGCCAACCGCTGATAGGCCCGCGTAGCACATGGGTGCGCCTCGAGCCATACTCAACATTCGAAGCGCTCGAAGCTTCCGCCTTTGGGGACAACTGCGATACCTCGACACGAGAACGCCCTCGAGCAAAGCCCGCCCTTCGACATCTTCAAAGCCTCACGATCTCACGACAATCTGATTGGGATCTTTCGGTGGCGGCTTTATTCCGGGGGCTCAGCTTCGAAGACGAAACACCATCATCCGGAGATTGGGACCTACAATACAGGGCTGACGGGTAAACCTTTAAGTCGACGTGCTTGGGCCGCGACGCCAAGACTCACGACGGTCGGGCCTCCGAGACTAGCAGGAATAGCGTGGTGGACGGGAATCGGAAACTGATGGAGATGTCGGGCAGGAGTAGGAAGGATAGCGGGATCATTTGGTGCGGTCAGGGCAGTGGAGGCAGTGGATCGGGAGGTTCGGCAGGATGAGGGATATTTAAGAGTGGATTTTCATGGTTGTAAGCCAGTACTTGGCCCCTAGTAGCGAGACTCACGCAGAATCACATCCCCCACTCAGCAGAGCTTATTCTGGCTTCAAACTTGCTTTCGAAGTGTTGCGTCTCCCTACGACCTACAACTACAACACCCCGAACTATGTCTGTGACCTTCGAACTACGCCTACGCCTTTCAACCTTCGTCTACGACCAAGCGCTCCCCCTTCAAAGAACACCTACTCATACAGCTAAGTCCTCCGAAGTTCCGTTCTCGCGCCCGACCCTCGGATGAGACTCGTGCACCCACACTCGAATCGCACTTCGCCTTCGCGTCATTGAGCCAGCTCCCCTTTTACCTTACCTCCACTTCTACGAGAAGTCAGAGTGTTTGGATGGTCCGAAACAGTCTTGTGACACCGTCCCAAGAAAATCTAGTGAAGTCATTGCCGTTCAAGTGAGCTATCACAACTACAAGCCCTCACCCCCATCAGCCTCCCAGAGAAGTAGGAACTAACCCTTTTCTTCGCACCCCCAAGTTAGGGTTAGGTTTCCCGAGATCGCATCACTGCGACAGCAACAACCCGACACAAGTGTACTTTGAGTACATCAGAGAGCATCAAGATTAGTGTCTGGGGTCTATCTTTGTCTGTAATAGTTGGTTCCATTTGTATTCTGGGCCTGGTGTTTTTAAGAACATTTTCTTTTTGGATTTCTTTCATGCCTGCTTAGCGCACCAACCGTCTTAGAAATAACAATGCAATCTCTGACCTGGATCCACGCTGTCATCCTTTGGCTCCTAGGCATAACAATTCTCCAGAAACTGGTCCCCAAAGGGCACCAACCCCTCACCCTTCCCATCTCCAAACTCTAGAAGAGCGCTTCACAGCTGGAATAATAGAGATGCCAGTTCCTAGGCATCCTATCTTGAGCTTCCCTTCTCAACAAGAATCTGATGATTCTTCCTTGGAGTTCCTTGATGAAGGTGGCTTCCGCTATCCATTCCCTCCCTTTCTGCCAAACGTCACTCGTCGACCTTTCCTTATCCCTGGATCCCTGGACTCATCTAACAGTGACACCATGGTCCTGCACCAATTCCCTGGGCCCTTGGAAGTCCCTCAGGAATCAGAAGCCACCCCCGGATCTTACCATGTTGTTCCTGCACAGGTTTTCCCAGCGTCATCACTAATGAATATCTCGTCATCTCCCAATCCTGATAGTCCTCTCGCTGCGTCCACCAACTCACCCAGTATGCCACCTCTCGCTTCAGATGTCTCCGACAATGGTAGCCTCAACCACGTTCCCAACCTTCAGCTACTAGCGGATGTCAGCAAATATATCACCACATCAGAAGGACACAGCAGCAATCCTCAGGAGTTTGTAGTCTATAGCGATGACATAATCCAAAGGCCCTCTAATGACGTCACCCAATCCTGGCAATCCATTCCCTTTGACACCTCCACCCCTGTTCAGGATGTTGATCCTTTGGAACACATACTTCCTCACTTCCCTGGGGCCTACACAACCACAGTCACTCGACCTCCTATGGGTGTCCCCATCAACGGAAATCTGGCCTTTGGACTACAACAAGTATCGACAACTGCGGCTGATGTACTCCGAATCACTGAACCTGTGGGGAATTGGAACCAATCGGACAGGGAATGGGAAGAGGACACTTGGGAGTATCTGCTGATGCGAGATGACAACCTCTTGGAGAGTCTCTGGGTGTCGTTACAGGATATCAAGGATCCTGGAGTTGCCAATGAAGTCGATTGTTTCAGAGCTGTAGATGCCAAAATTGACTTACTACTGACAGCATGACGATCAGTAGGCGCAGAACTTATTCATGCTCAACAAGAAATGGACCAATGCCACGCTCATCTCAGTGTTACAGCTTGGGGGGGGGTTTTCTTTTCTTTTCTTTTCTTTGCCTAACTATTTGTCGTTAACCCTGTACTATACTACTGATCCCATCACTTGATGCGTCATCACCATCATGCGTTTCATATCTATCTATCTATCACTTGTCGTCTGTC